CTGCCTGCTTGCAGGTGCTGCAAGTGCTCCAGAGGCGGGTGCTTGCTGCCAAGGCCGGCGTGCCGGCGGCGGTGCAGGCAGACGTGTTTTCGGATGCGGCGCTGCAGCAGCTGGCAGCCGTCTCGGCTGACGCGCCTACAGAGGGTGAGGATGGCGAGGGGCCTGGCAAGGAGGGGGAGGAAGCGGCAGCCGCAGCTGCAGCCGCAGCAGCTGCGGCAGGAAGCAGCAGCGACGCGGCCGAGCGCCAGCAGAGCCGCCAGGCGGCGGCGGCAGCCCTGCAGGTGTTGACGGCGGTCGCCTGCGAGCCAGCCCATGGGCTGGCTGCCGCTGCAGCGCCGGCGGCCGCGGGCGGGCCTTTCGTGCTTGGCGACGCCAGCAGCCGCCAGCTGCAGCCGGGGCAGCGCCGCCTGCTGCGCCTGCTGCTGCGCCTGCGCCCCGCCGACTCCCCAGCCCACCTGCAGCTCCTGCTGGCGGCAGCCGCAGCAGACGCGGAGCTGGCGGCGGCGCTGCTGCTGGCCCTGCCTTACAGCCTGGATCCAGGCGCAGCGGGCGCAGCGAGCGGCAGCGCGGCCGCCGGCCGCTGGTTTGCACACACGGCCGTGGCCGCGCGCCTGCTGCAGCTGCTGCCGGCGTCGGCGCCGCCTGGGCTGTCGCTTCTGGCCGGCGCCGGCGCCGGCGCGCCGGCCCCCGGCGGCCGCCGCGTGCACTGCCTGCTGCGCTGCTGCTTCCCGCCCTGCCTGCACAAGGCGGCGCTCAGCCGCGGCCTGCAGCACACCAATGCTCTGGTGAGTGGGCTGGTGGGTGGGTGAGGCGAGCCAGCTGGCTGGCAGGCTGATTGCGACTCGTTCAATGGGCTTGTGCTTGTGCACTGCCACTCGGCTCATCTCCGATGAACTGTGTTTATCCGGCGCCAAGAGCGGCATCCCGCATTTGGAGAAGGAATGGCCGATGCTGTGGCGTGCTGCGGCGCAGGTGCGGCACGGCACACTGGCCCTCCTCGCCGGCTCCCTGTCCGCGCTGGAAGCGGTGCTACAGGACTGCTCTGCAGCAGCGGCTGCGGCGGCTGCGGAGACCACCGGCTGCCTTGGCTCCGAGAGCGCGGCCCCACAGCAGCTGCCTGGGGCGCAGCGGCGGCGGCAGGGCTGGCTGGCGCTGCGCGGCTGGCTGCAGCAGGCGGCGCGGCAGCACCTGCCTGACCCCACCCTGCTGCTGGCGCTGCTGGCGGCGGCGGAGAAGGAAGGATGGGAACGGGGTGAGCTGATGGCTGGGCTGGGCTGGGCTGGGCTGGTGGCAAGCAGTGGCGGCGGCCAGTGCAGGGCCGAGCAGGGCCGACTGAAGTGAAGCAGATGCATGTGCTACAGAGCAGTCCCTGCCAATTTGTATCCATTCAGTCCTGAGCGTCGCATCCCATCTCCCCTGCCCCTGCCGCAGCCAACGAGCTGCAGCTGACTGCCGTGCTGCGCGTGCTGCTGCTGTGGCAGCGCCTGCTGCCCTCGGGGCTGGCAGATGCGCACGTGGATGCCGAGAGGCTGATGCCGCAGCAGCCGCTGCCGCTGCGCCCCCAGCACCAGCTGCTCCTGCTGGAGCTGCTGACAGCCGCGGCGGATGCCGTCGCTGCCTCCGCAACCGCCGGCAGCGATGCAGAGCATGCCGTGCAGGCTGCGACCGTGGCTGCGGCGGCGGCGGCGCTGCTGCCGCCTCTGCGGCTGCTGGTGGGGCCGGGCGTGGCGCCGGCGGTGCGGGCAGCGGCGCGCAGCTGGCTGCTGCGTCGGCTGCTGGCTACAGGTGCCTTCAGCAGCAATGTGGAGGAAGCGGTGCTATGGTTGGATGTTCTGCCCAGGTGAGGGGCATGGCACGCACAGCATGCTGGCAGCCACACCTGCTCCCGCCGGCTGCCACTGCTCCTGCTGCTGCTGCCTTGCCACAGGCCAAACAACTGCGTGCCCTGCCTGCAGGGGCGGCAGCAGCAGCGAGGCACTGGCTGGCTTCCTGTCTGAGGCGGTACAGCTGCTGCTGCGCCGCCCTCACGAGCTGTACGAGCAGCAGCAGCAGCTGCTGGGCGCCGCAGCTGCAGCAGCAGGGGCCGACGCAGGTGTGCACCAGCAGCTGCAGCAGCCGCAGTCCAGCCTGCTGGCGCCCTGCGCCCTGCGCCAGCTGCTGCGAGTGCTCCCCTCTCTCAAGATTGCGGCAGGGGACAAGGCAGCAATGGCTGCCTACGTGGCATCCGTGCTTTGCCAGCTGGCGCAGCAGCAGCTGGGCGCCGGCGCGGCAGCGGGCCTGTCGGCGGTGCTGCTGGGGGTGGTGCGGCAGGAGGCGGCCCGGCGGCAGCAGGGGCCGCAGCAGCAGGCGGCTGATGGCTCCGCTGACAAGCAGAGCAAGAAAGACAAGAAGCGGAAGCAGGCGGGCGGCGCAGACGGCGGGGCGGCGGCATATGGTAATGGAGCAACCGTGCCTCTGCTGCTGCTGCCACCAGAGGGGCGCCCCCTGCTGGCTCTGCTGGCGGTGCTTGAGCAGCAGCAGGAGGGTGGCCAGCTGGCAGGCGGTGAGCAGGCTCAGAAGAAGAGGAAGCAGAGCAAGCACGCGGCAGATGCGGCGGGCGGGGGGCAGGGGGCGGCGCCTGTCTCGGCCCCAGCTTCAGCCATGGTGCAGGCCAATGGAAGCATGGCAGGCGATGCCGAGGCAGTGGCAGCAGCCGAGGCTGGCGCAGCAGCAGTGGGCGCCTGCTGCCAGCTGATCAGCCAGCTGGCGGCCAGTTCTGGCGGCAGCGCAGAGCTGCTGGCGGGTATTCAGCAGCACCTGGCTGGCAGCAGCGGCAGCGGCAGCGGCGCAGGCACCTGCAGTGCGGTGATGCGGCAGTGTCTGCACTTGCTGGAGGCTGGGGGAAGCAGGTGTGGCGCTGCTCAGCTAGGGCTGCTGCAGGTGCTGCAGGCAGCCGTGCTGGCGGGCGGCGGCGGCCGGCAGGAGCAGCGGCGGGAGCAGCGGCGCTGCCTGCAGCTGCTGGCCGAGAGTAGCCTAGTGGCCCGGGCGCTTGGCGGCGGCGGTGACACTGACATCAAGGTGCAGCAAGCGCTGGCATCTACTGTTGTGCAGCTGCTGCGGCACATCCAGCCAGCAGCCGGCGGCAGCAGTGCCAGCAGTACAGCCGTGTGCCTCCCGCTGTTGGAGCATGTAGCGTCAGCATTCTCTCATCAGTTGCATGATTCCAGGCAGGCTGCTGATCAAACCGATGACAGCAGCAGCAGCCCACCAGCGGCGATCCAGCGCCTCCTGCTTCTGCTGCCCGGCATGCCGGCGACTGCACTAGATGACGCTGCAAGCACGCTGCTAGCTGAGCTTTCGCCGGCAGAGCAGAGCCAGCCCATTGGAAGCAGCAGCAAGAAGAAGAAGAAGAAGAGCGCCAGCCAGGAGCCAGGAGATGGACAGGCAGCACAGCCGCCTTGGCTTGGCGCAGCAGCCGCTGCCGTGCTGCAGCATCAGCTGTCGTCTGGCAGCTGGGACCAGCAGCAGGGCCAGCTGGAGGCGGCATGCGGCACCCTGCTGCACTTGGCATGCGCCCCTGCAGCAAGCACTGCCGGCAGCGACGTCGTGGGCGCAGCAATGAGCTGCCTGCTGCAGTTGCTAAAATCCCGGAGCCAGCAAGCAGCAGCCCTGGCAGCGCTGGGTGGCAGCGGGCAGGCACAGCTGCTACGGACCTGCTTGGGGCAGGCGGCAGCTGGCGGCAGCGGCAACCTGGAGGCCTGCAGCCAGCTGGCCGCCCAGTTGGTCCAGGTCAGCAGCGATTGCCGCCAGCTGGCAGCAGCAGAGGTGCTGCCTGGCCTGCTGAGTGGCGGAAGCACAGCTGCGCTGGCGCTGGCCCTGCCTGCAGTGGCAGTGTGCTTGCAGCAGCAGCAGCAGCAGCAGCAGGGGGAGGATGGTGGCTGTGCGCCAGCCGGTCCAGCTGAGACTGCGCTGCTGGCTGCCCTCAGCGAGCAGCTCCTGGCATTCTTCGCTCCTGATGGCAGCAGCAGCGGTGGCGGGCAGCAGAAGGAAAAGAAGAAGAAAACGCGGAAAGGCGAGGCAGCGGATGGCGATGCAGCAGCAGCAGCGACCAAGCTGGTGTTAGAGCAGCACGCGCTGCCCTGCCTGCGCCTGGTGCTGCAGCAGCGGCCGCCGGCCGCGCCGCAGCGGCAGGCGCTGCTGCAGGCGCTGCTGCCGTCCCAGGGCTTGGCGGTGACGCCAGCGGCAGGTCCTGGCAGCCCTGCCGCCCTCCCTGGCCCTGGCACTGCTGAGAAGGCGGAGGCGGCGGCGCTGCTGCTCACCGCCGGCGGCGCTGCAAGCGTGCAGGAGCTGTCTGCCTGCGTGCGCTGCTTTGCAGCCACACTGGCTGCCCTCCTCAAGTGAGCGCCCGCTTCCAGCCTGGTGGTGCAACGCTGCTCGCGTGCTGCATTCCACATTGCTTGCATGGCTGGTGCATTCCTGCTCATCTTCAAGCAGCCCCAGCTCCAGCCTGTCGACATGCTTGCCTCCTCTCCCCTTTTGACCGCAGGCTGCCGGCTGGGAGCTCAGACCTGGAGAGCCGCCTGCTGCAGCTGCTGGATGGGCCTGTGGGAGACGCGGTGGCGGCCCTGCCCGCCGCCCAGCGCAGCTGCGCCGCCTTTGCCGAGCTGGCGTCAGCCGTGGCAGGCACCCTGGGCACAGCCGTGCTTCGGCACCGCCTGGCAGCGGCAGCAGGCAGCGGCAGCGAGGCGGCCCAGGGGGCGGAGGCGGCCGGCGTGGCCGCGCTGCGCGTGCTGCGCCGCTTCCTGGCGGCTCTGCTGCCGGATGATGAGGAGGAGGGCGGCGCGGCGGATGGGGAGAGCGACAGCAGCAGCGAGGATGGGAGCGACAGCGAGGGCGATGTGGAGATGCGAGACGGGCCGCAGCGGCAGCAGCGGCAGGGGGCGGTGGGCAACCCGGAGGCCGCCTCGGCGGCGCTGCAGCTGCTGCAGCGGCTGCTGGGCCACAGCCGCTTCCTGCCCGCCATGCGCGCCACCGCGGCATGCCCGCCGCCGCTGCCGCCGCCCGCTCTGGCGCTGCCGCGCCCGCTGGCCTCGCTGCTGCCGCTGGCGGCGGCTGCGGACGACGCCGTAGCGCTGGAGGGGGTCCCAGCAGCGGCAGAAGTGAAGAAGGAGCTGTGCGAGCTTCTGGAGACTCTGCTGGATCTGCACCAGCAGTACAGCGGCGGTACAGCTGGCAGCCGGACGGTACCGCAGCAGCAGCGGCAGCAGGAGCAGGAGCTTGTGGAGGGGGCGGAAGCTGCATTGCTGCCGCTGCTGATGGCGGGCTATGGCGCCTCCTGCTCCCCCGCCGATGCCGCCGCCTGGAGCCTGGCCGCCGCCATCAACCGGCGCCAGTGGGAGCGGCGTGGCGGGCAGGAGGGCGGCGAGGCCGAGGCTGCAGCGGCGGCGGCGGCAGCCGATGGCGATGGCGACATGGCGGCGCTTGCCGCGCTGCTGCACGGGCCCCTCGGCAGCACCGGGTGAGCTGCCGTCCTGTGGTTGATGTTGCGTGCATGGCCAGAGCTGCTGCCCGGCAGGTTGCCTCTCCCGCCGTGCGGCCAGCTTCTGCCAACGGCCTGCTGCGCCTCCCGTTCCTGCCGCCGCAGCTTCGCTTGGGGGCCCGCCGCGGCAGCCCTGCAGCAGCTGCCCGCGCCGGCCGCCGGCGCCGGCGAGCAGCAGCAGCAGCAGCGGCGGCGGGAGCGCGCCCAGTTGCTGCAGCAGCGCCTACCTCTGGACCCCGCCCGAGCCGCCCTCACCGTCTGCCACTGGCCAGAGGGCTGCTCCCTGGCAGTACCGGGCAGCTCCGGCGACGGCGACGGCACTGGCAGCGACGCCGGCGGCGCCCCGGAGCAGCTGCCCGCCGCCGCAGCAGCCTACGACCCCGGCTTCCTGCTCCCCTTCTGCTGCGCCTGCCTGCGGCAGCAGCTGCTGCCGCCGCGTGCCTTTGCAGAGGCCGGATTGCTGTCAGGTGGGCCTGAGGAGTGCGCTGTGTGCCAGTGTTGTTTACAGATGGGTGGCTTTGCTTGCGGCGCAGGCACCCGGCACACAGCTCGATCAACCGCGGTCCAGAGCATGCCACAGGCTGTGACGGTGCCGCCTGTCCTTCACACCCTTGCTTGCCTGCAGTGTGCCTGCGGGGCCTGGCTGCCGCCGACCCCGGCTGCCGCGCCGCATCCTACCAGGCGCTGGCGCTGTTTGAGGCGCAGCTGACGGGAGCGGCGGCGCCCGACTTCCGCGAGATGCAGCAGCTGAGGTGTGTGTGTGCGCGCGTGTGGTGTTGGTGTGTGCATGCATGTGTGTGTATGTGGCTGGGATCCCATTCCAGCCTGCCAAGTCGCCCCCTCTGCCGTGTGCGCCGCCGCTTTGCTGCTGCAGTGTGCTGCTGGGCGCGCTGCGTGCCGCCGTCACCCGCCCCTTCCAGCGCCTCCCCGCTGTGCACGCTGTGTTCCTGGCGGAAGCAGGTGCGGCAGTCGCCTGCGCCTGAGCTGCGGCAGAAAGCGGCTGCTGCCTGGTGTTGGGATGTTCAGCGCGAGCATGTGTCGGCGCTGCCTCTCTGCCTGTGGCCCTATCTCTCCTGCCACTTGTGCCGCCCATGCCTCCTGTCCTCCCAACGTGCCCGCCTGCCGCAGCCCTGCTGGCGCTGCACCCCGGTGCCGCCATGTACCCCGCTGTCAACAAGCACCTCACGCGCCGGGCGCTGCTGAGCATCACGGTGAGCCTGGGGGGTGGGGTGCAGCCTTGGGTTAGCTCAGTAGCACGCCGTGGCTAGGCAGCTACAAGCATCACTGCAGGAGCCTCAACGCAACTGTCAGCTGACTTCTGTGCTGCATGCATCTGCTGCCGCCGCCGCTGCAGGATGTGCCGATGCTGGGCCAGCTGCTGCTGTCTGGCGGGCAGCAGCACGCCGCGGACCGGCGCTGGATGCTGCAGGTGGGTGGGCCGGCTGGAGAGGCGGCTGTGTGTTGCCTGTGCCTCCTCTCCAGCATGCATGCTCCCAGGAACCGGGCTGCGACGTGCGCTTGTGCATGGCAGCTTATGCACACGGCTTCCCCGCCCAGGCTCATGCGCTGCCACCCCCTCCCGCCCCTTGCCCTGCAGCTGCTGGTGGCGGGGCTGCGTACCGCTGACGATGCCGGGCTGTACCGCCGCCAGCACGCATTCGAGCTGGCCATGAGCCTGCACGACTCCTGCGGTGAGCGCATGCATGCGTCGTGCTTGTTGGTGGTGGGCTGCCTGCCTATGGCAGGGCGCAGCAGCTGATGTTGGCTGGGCGGGCTGCCTGGCGATGGCAGGCCATCTGTCGGCATGACCATGTCGCTGAAGCCGCACCTCTGCCGTGCCAATTTCCTGCAGTGGCCGACCCTGCGGCGTCAACCCTGGCGCTGCGCCTGGTGTGCACAGCCACCTTCATCCCCCGGGCCGCCCGCCAGCTGGCACAAGAGTCTGGCCTCATCCCCTGGCTGGCCGCTGCAGCAGGCTCTGCGCTGCAGTGCCTGCTGTCCCCTGACGATCAGCAGCGGCGGGCCGGAGGTGGCAGCCTGGCAGCGGTAGGCGACGAGGCGCTGGCGGCGCCGCTGCAGGCGCTGCGCCGCCTGCTGCAGCTGCGGACGGTGATGCGGGGCAGCGGCGGCGCCGCGGCCGCTCGCCAGATGGTGGCGGCTGCGCACCAGCTTGCCGCGGCAGCGCTGGCGGCTGTCGGCGGGCCCGGCGCCGTGCCAGCAGCAGCGTCCGTGTGCCGCCAGCTGCTGCCGCTCCTGCTGGAGGTGCGGCAGCTAGGGGCTGGCAGCCACGCACAGGCCAGGCACCTGCAAAACGGGAGCGGCAGCTTGGCGGCGCTGGCGACCGCCGTGGAGGCGCTGCAGCAGGCGGCTGGGCTGTCCGCATGAATCTTTTGAGCGACATCAAAGCAATGTAAAGGAAGCACACATTTCTTTGGATGGCGCTGACGGGGCCGCCACGTCAGCGGCCGCCAAAGGAAAAAACCAGCTTTGCGCTGCGCAGCCCCCTTGGCATTTGCTTGTGGCAGGATGGGCACCAAACGCAAGGCCCCAGAGGACCTGGAGGAGGACCTGGCGCACCTGCCCAGCCAGTCCAAGGCTCTGGCCCAGCTAGCAGACGTCTCGCTGGTGCTTGGCAGCCGCAGGCTGCCCCTACACACAGCGGTGCTGGCCACGAACAGCAGGTGCCAAGGTTGCCCTCGGTCTGCCCCCAGTGCCCCTTCGCTGCCACAACATGTAATGCTGTAAATCCATTGATGCATGCAGGGTGCTGTGCAAGGCCACCTGCAGCACAGGCGGCTTGACCCCCGAGGCGCCCAGCGTCGCGTTCTCGCTGCCGCCCGACACCGACCCGGCTGTCGCTGTGGAGGCCTCCCGCCTGTTCCTGCGCATCATCTACCAGTCTGGTTCGGCTGAGGTCGAGGCTGGGCTGGACAGGGTGGATCGGCCGCAAGGTCTCAAGGCCATGCAGGCGCTGCTGCGGCTGGCTGCCAAGCTGGACTCGTCCACGGTTGTCAAGGTGGGCGGATTTTTAACTCCAGATATACGCAACTGCGATGAGCCAATGTGCCTGTTAATGCTGTGACGTGTGTTCCGTGGTTGTTGTGCAGGAGCTCTTGAACTGCTCGCTGCGGAACACCACCTCTTCTCCTGCCAGGGATTGGATGTGCATGCTGCTTGCTGCCGAGGGTCTGGGGCGTGACGAGACATCACAGAAGCTGAGGTGTGTGTGGCATGCAGACCACCTTAGGGCGCTGTGTGAGGCTGCTGGTGTGAGTGCAAAACCCAAGAGGCTGTTGGTGTTGCTCAGCGCAGGCATCGCTACATCCGCTCGCTGCTGTTTAAAGTTACATCCACCCTGTTGGGGGACGCCCCAGGGGACATTAGTTTCGTGAAGGATGTTTTGCTGGCCCCCAGCAGCTGGAAGCAGCTGAGCCAGGACAGTCTGCTGCTGTGCGTGGAGGGGCTGCTGGAGGCAATCCGCCGCGCCAAGCCAGGGATGTTCAGCCTCCCCAACAAACAGGAGTTCATGGACGTCAGGGGTTTTTGGCGACATGCTGCTGCACAAGGTGCTGTGACAGGGCTGATTGGTCCGGCAGCAGACAGCCTGGCGTTTGTTGCCTGTGTTGCATGTTATGAATGTCGTTGCATTACAGATTCAGATCGCCGGTTCTTTCCGCCTCAGCTTGCCAGGTGGCTGCCTGCCCAATGAGGCAGGTGGCGTGTAAAGGAAACAGAGAGGGGCAGGTGGCTGAGGCATCCCGAGGCAGCGCCGGGGTGCCAGCTCAGCTCAGGCAGCTCCGGGGCGCGGTTTCAGCCCAGAGACCACAATACAATACCAGTATGTATACCAGCATGAAGAGATGGCGGGAGGGGGGCGAGCAAGGTGCCGCCACGTATAGGAGGGAAGGGGGGCAGCGTAGAAGAGCGAGCGCAAAACAAGGGGCGTGTGGTGTGCGAAGCCCGACCTAAAGGGGCGGCTGATGGTATCTATCTACTGAAGGGTTCTGCAGCTGCTGAGGGGCGGCCCGAAATGAGGCCTGGGTGGGGGAGCGCAAATGCCGAATGGGGCAGCGCATCGCCTAGAGCGCCCCGCCGGAAGGGAGGCAGGAAGGGTGGGGAAGCTGCTGCTGCTGGAAGGCGAAAAGGCGGGTGCGGGCTGTACAGGTGGCAAGCTAACAGGTTTATGCGGTTTCTCAGTCGCTGCATCGCCCAGCTGCTGAAGGCTGGCGGGGGCGTAACGGGCGGGGCTGACTGCGGGGCTGACGCGCGCCTATCCGCCCGCGTCAGGTCCGCCAGCGCCTCACTGCCCGCCATTCTGGCTGCGGGTGGAGCGCGCCGTCTGCAGCTCCTCCTCATAGGCCCCCGGCGGCGGCGCCATGGGCCCCTGGAACGGAGCCCGCGGCTGGCCGGGCAGCGAGGGGGTGCGCGTGTAGCTGGGCCCGCGCGCGCTCTGCAGGCGGCCAGGGGTGGGGCGCACAGTGCCCAGCGCGGGTGAGTGGCGGCAGGGCGTGGGCAGGCAGCCGTGCCATGCAGCGCCGCTGCCAGCAGGCCTGGCTGCGCCTTCCCCCAGCCCCTCCCTCGCGCCTCCGAGCCCTTCCCCTCCCAGCCAGCACCCACCTGCAGCGCGGATCCCATGGAGGTGGCGGAGGTCTGGCGGGAGATGCCGTAGGGGTTGTACTGCCCGTACTGCCGCTCGGGGGACCCCGACCACGAGTTGAGGCGCCCGTTGTTGGCGTAGCCAGCCAGGCCGCCCATGCTGCCAGACCGCACCTGCACGGGGAGGGCGGGGAGGGGGCGGTGGGTGGGCAGGCCTC